TATAAAACGAAGCCTACTACGATTCCCACCAGAGTTACACAATTGTAGGATAACATCGTTGTTTAGACGTTAGACGTTTAGTGATTCTATGTCGATTCTCTTTATAATACGAGTAAATAATTTTGTGGTCAATATTTAATCTTTCTTGTCTTTAAACACAATAGGCTTCTATTGTTATTATGTTTCCTAATAACTCAACACTGTTATTTCAATACAAAACAATAGCCATAATACACGTGCAATTTAACCTCACGTATTTCGGCTAATTCGACTGATACAGCAAATTATGTTGTTTGATGATTAGAAAGAAACGGATGGCAGTTAGTATTAATTTTTACATCCATGATTTTACAAAATAATTATTCATCACGTGTATAAAAGTTCTTACACCCCGTACGGATATAATAGGTCTTTACCTATGAAATTGCCATACTGCAGTACTGGCCATTTCAAATCAAAATAATTTTTCTTTGGCTAAGAATTCTAATTTCAAATTAATTTTAATTTAAAAACATTGAATTCTTATTTCAAAATTAGTCGTTTGTTTCTTGATGAGCGTTATGTTTTCTTTTTTCTTCGCATTTGAATCTTTTTTGTCATCATGTATATGTTAAAAATTCGAGTAATTATGGACTATGAGTGCCATCGTGGCAGCAACGCGGCACAAGCGGCACGCAACTGTTGTGTATCGGCAGCAACGCAAAGTCAGGAATTTGCATTTAGAAAAACCCAAAATTAGGGGCTTTTTAGATGATAATTAAATTAATAAAAGAATTTTGCATCTGTTCTGTTCTGAATAACGACTTTATTTTTATTAGGGACACCTTATCATTGCCTATACTTGCAGCACCTAATTAGCACTGAATTCCTTGCTATTAATATTTATCGTATATCTAATAACTTCATTGCGTTGCTAGCGATACGTTTTGCCAGCAACGCAAATTTCAACAATTCGTTGCGGTGAAATTTTTAGAGCACCTAATTTCTAAACTTGGCACCTAAACACCACCTAAAAAACCCCTAATTTGGGCTTTTTCTAAATGCAAATTCCTGACTGCGTTGCTGGCGAGACACAGTCACGCAACATCAACGTCGTTTACGGAGCGAATACTACAAACGAACGCACCACCTGTTATTGGTTTGTCCGCTTCCGTTCTGGAAATTTCGACCTGAAATGAACCCCGTAGTCGACCGAAAACTTTAGTCGACAATGACAAATTAAAGCCGAATGTGGAAGCTGATACGAGGGGCACACTGAAATGATCGGGAATAGGAAAAACCTCATGCACGGTATAGCTAAATTGTATTTTATTGTTTTTCGAAGTATTCTCCGTTCAACTTAATGCACTTTTCCATTCGTGCAAACCAATCATTAAAACAGTAATTCCAGTCTGAAGTTGATGTTGACCAAATGGCTGATTTGTACGCTTCCACAGCTGCTTCGGGGTCTTCAAACCGTTGACCGCGTAGTAAATATTTTATTCTAGGGAATGTAAAGAAATCGTTTGGGCTCAGGTCAGGATTGTACGGAGGATGGCTCATCAGCTCAACGTTTTCCTGCTTCAAAAAGTCATGTCTTCCGAGCCGTATGGAAGCTCGCATTATCGGGATAGAAGATGATGCGACGTTTCGGCTATCATTTCTGGCAAACAAACCGTGATAGACCACTCAGCGGTAACCGTTCTGCATTCCTGTAAAGGAATTGTAGCAACATGCCCCTTTTTCGAGACAAACGTAGCGACCATTTTCTTTGACACGCTGCGGGAGCGAACCACTTTTGTAGGTTTGACCTCGTCTTCGAAGACCCAAACTGCTGACTGATGTTTTCTTTCAGGTTCGTATGAATAAATCCATGATGCGTCACCTGCGACATCCCTCCGTTGAAGCGTTGCAGAGTATTCCGGCACCAATCTACACGAGCCGCCTTTTGCTCTTCGAACAAATTGTGGGGAACCCAGCGGGAAACTAGCTTTCTTACACACAGCTCATTATGTAATATCGATTGAATTGCAGTCATTCCGATACTGATAACAACCCGAATCTGCCGTATGTCACATGACGGTCATCTAATATAATAGTTCGCACAACTGCGATGTTTTCAGGCGTGACCGCTGTTCTTGGTTGACCTGTAGAAGAAACAGTGCTGAGCGACACACGACCGCGTCAACATCATAAATCGAAACAAGTTCGCTAAGACATTTATCTTGAGATAAGCCGCGACGAAAATTGTGATAAATTATGGCACGGAAATGTACACGCGTGAACTCCATTTCTGTTAACGACTTGTCAACTTTAAGCCAACATAGTTTTTGTTATTAAACATTTTTTTTAATTGTTTGAATGTCATTAAGATTCTAAGAGGCCAGTATTCAAATTCTAAAAAAGATTTTATTGTAACTCAATCCGAAATAATCTATTCCCGATCATTTCAATATGCCCCTCGTAATACTCAATCCACGGCTGAATTAGCTTTCGATATTAGCATCAAAACAATAATGGTCCATTTGTGTCAAATTGACAAGCCAAAAAATCTTGACAAATGGGTGCCCCACGAACGCAATGATCGCTAGCGCAAATTACACATCAAGACAACAGGCACACAAACGAATGAATTTCGAACCGCATTGTACCTGCTACGTAAAACGGATTCTGTTTGACAATCGCAAGCGCTCAGGCGCTCAACAAGTTGGTTGGGTCCTGGTTCAGCACCTATACAATGCCCTAAACGAAAACTTACCCCTAGAAAAGTGATGGTCACAGTTTGGTGGTCTAGTGCCGGTGTGATTCATCACAGCTTCTTATCAAACAGGAGGAGCGTTACTGCGGATGTGTACTGTGAAGAACTGAACACAATTATGGAGAAGTTCGCACGTCTCCAACCAGCTTTGGTCAATCGCTCATCCACCCTGCTCCTGCACGACCACGACAACTCGCGACCTCATACTGCACAACAAACGGTCTCCAAGTTACAAGAGATGGGGTTGGAAGCTCTCTGTCATCCGCCGTACTTACTATACCTTGCGTCTATAGATTTCTACTTTTTTCAGAATTTGTATAATTTTCTGGCGGGTAAAAAATTCAATACCCGAGAGGCAGTACAAAAGGCCTTGAAGAATTTGTTGCCTCCCGTCCAGCTGATTTCTTCAAAAAGGGCATCAATAGACTGCCACTGCGTTGGCCAAGGTGCATTGATTGCATGGGGACTTTGATTAATAGAAATAAAAAATATAGAAATAAAATTACGTTAATTTCATAAATTTTATAGGTAGAGAGACCTAATATACAAGGCTATAAGACATAACATGCATCATGTATAAAGCCAAGGACGACTCTAGCAAGTTTTTAAGTTGGTGCGAGACATCATGGTAGCGTCCAAAATGTGTATTGGCTTATTCATACCTACTTAAACCGTTTACACAAAGTAAAGATAGTGACTATGTGTATCGTGCTGATCCTGAGGAGAATACTATTATTCAAAGGCAAATCAGTAATATAAACAGTAGATATATAATAAGGAATATTGGCATTTTTTGTAAGTTATACATCTGCTTGACAAAGAGCTGCTAGATTTATAGTCTGGACTCAGTGCAACGAATTGATTTTCGCTCACGCTCACCGTAAGCGCTTTCAGCACGCCCAGTCGCCCAATAAATCTAAACTTGCCGTTACGTATAATTGCGTCCCGGATTATAGCAATAAAATACAAAAGATATCTACATAAAACGGACCAAAAAAACGGTAGAAAAAGAGATAAATTGTAGTTGTTTGCACTTTGTATAAGATACCATAATCTTCTCTGCTTGCCCTGGAAATAGACTGGTAAAGAATGCCTTGTAACCATTGAGTTATATGTACTACGTACTAGAGAAGCCATTCCGAACATTGACTATGTTCAACTGAACTGTAGTGCAATCCATACAAACTAAATATTGCGTAAATTGAAGATTTGTGAATTCCATATAATAATTATTATTACATTTTATTTAGAAATATGTTTGTTTAGATTAAATTAAGATATTTTATATTAAATTCTTATATTTATTTATATTAATATCTTATTTTATATCAAATTAGTCTCCCGCGCATGCGCGAAGACATAAAGTAGGACACAATTTTTGTTTGGAATGGCTTCTCTATTGTAGTACATAACTCAATGCTTATAACAAACAGTGAAGGTCATCTTTTTGTATATAAATTTTGCCTTAAAACAATTGCCGATTATAAGGCGTTGATAATTTTGATCATTACAAACTATTGTTTCTTGTGGACTATTAAATGCTTACCTATATATGTTATGGACCAAGTGATTAATCAGGGCACTATTTATAATTCGCGAGCAATATGAATAATGACAAACCAAATCGGGCTATATAATTAACAATGATGATTTAAACTTTATTATTTATCACATTGTCTGGGCCTTATGAATATAGGCCGCTCTCCCTAGATCAGATCCGCCGCTGGGGTCGGGAAAGCGGGTGCTACCGAGCGCTCGATTTTCCTAGTCCCATGGCCTCCGCGTATCGGACTGGCGGGGGGGGGGGGGGGGGGGCGTTACGCAGGTGGAGTTGGAAGCCGTGGATGGGGGCGTGCCTTGTGTTCCTGGTGCACCTTGCCTGAGAAGAATGGGGAGCCGAAAGCGTTCCCGTGGCCCCGCCAATATGCAGCGAAGGTGGAACACCATGGTGTTTTAGTCGGTGTGAGTCCGACATAACCCGTCATTGCCCGCGCGAGGCGGGTATGCGTACACACACATTTCCCCATGTAAAAAAAAGGAAGTTGATGAAGCAGGTGGCTCAGGGCCGTACTTTGAAGCATTCCTTGATGAAAGCCTATGTTCAGAAGTAGAATTGTGAGGGGCTGTAATGAATGATGTTGCTGATATATTTAAAAATATTTTAGACTTCGATCGGCGAGGAGTTTTAATTTCATTCTTTTGCTTAAATTTTGACCGACCTAGTCGTTGATAAATTTACCGTAGTTTAGGAAAAAAACCAATTACAACAGAGTTTATAATAAAATATAAAATACAATTCTGAGTAAAATTACAATATATTGTGATAAATTTTACTAATCATATTTTACATAAAGTATTTACGCACTATACATAGCAAACGTTATAATTAACTCACAATATACTTATAATAATAAATTAAACATAACAAAGCTAATATTAAGTCTAAAGATGAAAAGATACCTTATTCTAAATAAAATAAATCAGGTTTCTAAGCTCCAATAACTAGACGATATTGCACTAAAACTTAGATATTTTGACATAAAATCTCAACAATTCGTTTCTCTTTTGGTGCAAAAAATGGTGAAAGCGGAAGCGTTCTTTACTCGCGATTTCAAACAACATTAATACAAATCAAAGAGGGCTATTTTTTTCATTTGGGACTGTGGCGAAGTTTTTTGTTACGCGTTGTCATTTAATTGAGAACTTAGTTTTAAATAAATGTTTATCATTTTCTAGAGTATTATATTAATACACAAAACAATGCCTCACTGGTGGGTTTGCTCTTTAATTTTTTTTTTTTGCATTTTTTAACTCTTGTTTTTAATTTTTCTACTTTCAGGAAAATCTGAAATTTGGTTTATTCGTTTCTAATCTAATTACTATACAATATAACTAATGTTACAGAAAGAAACATTAATATTTTCCTGACGAATGAACTTTCTCGCTATGAAATCTGTCAAATATTTTACCTCATTCAAAAGTGGCGCCGATTGAAGAAAGCCTGGTGGCAGAGAAAGTCGTGCCCTAATTAAAGAAATACTTAAAATTGCTCTCTCTTTTTTCACTAAATGACATTAAGAAGAGACGGGTATACTGATTATTAACTTAATTCAAGTAAGCGATATACAACGTTTACAAGTGAAGCCACAAATGTCTATAACTAACGACCATATTATAACGACTTCATAACTTATCTTTATTGGATATAGTATATCTATAGTGATGTGACTAACTAAATTTTACACACTTAATTATATATTAACATATTTTTTTATTTCTATACAAAATTAGACTATATGCTTTGCATTAGAATTTATGCATAAGATCTATGTATTATATTCATAAAATCTAAAATTTTGAAATACATATTCATTCAGATTTAAATAATAAATAATGGCAGATTTACAGAGACATTACAGAGACAATTCTATTGTTTGTCACATCACTATTACGTATACCTAATATCTACCATATAACACCAAATATTTGGGGACGTCGGTCACCAAATCAAACAACACTCAATATTTTATTTTTCTATTTCGCTTCTAAATTAATTTCATCCTTAGCACACGATCGCGCGCTGTCGGCCACCGTTGCCTACAGACTAAAAATACATCTAAGACAGTCATGATTCCATTTTGATTAAAACTGTGACTGTCTAACAGCTCTATTGTCCTTTGCATACTAAAAAAATAAATAAAAATGTATACCATTGTGGCGGCGCTGTTGTCGCACCACAAGCGAAACATATCCAAGCCTAAATCGCGCTAACAAAGTTCCGAAATCGAAGCAGTATATATATAGCATAGCTCCGAAGTACTACTCGGAGTGTTGGCCGCTCCCCGGGCAGAACACCTTGCCCGGCGAGAGATCTCCCCTTTTCCTTCCATCGCCACACCATGTTATTACAAAATAATATGGTTAATTGATAGTCTCGGACTTAAACAATGATTTAAGGAGTCCATCTCACGGCAGAAGTCTCTAAGCAGCGACACCACATTCTGCGCTTAATTGATACTTGCTGTGTTTTAGCTCGCATGTTTTCCACGGTTTAAAATTGAGACTAATTACATAATACTTTTTGTAATAAGACGTAATGCTTAGAAATTACCTCGCTTCCAGCTCAAAATTTCTATTGTCCCCTGTATAGATAAGATGCAAGGGTATTAAGTTTGTCTTTTAATGTAGATGTGAAATATTCCTCATAGACAGTAATATTGGATTATTTAAAATATAAACCAACTTCTTGGAACATCATGAAATTATCAATAAATGAATCGCCAGTAAGTCGTTACCTGACCTCGGAGATATCCTTAATAGACTTAAAAATAAACATCGGTCTGACTGATATCTTCCACTTTTGTTAATAGCAGTAAAATTGACAATAGACACTATTGGACTGAACTCACTATGAGTTTTATGAATACATCAACATGTTAATGCTATTTAAAATATTGACATTAAAATTTATAGTTACTGCCAGTAAGGTAGAGAATTCTTAATGAGTAACAATTATCTTACAAATTAATTAAGTTAATCAGAAAACTGTGAAATTGAAATCCCATTGTTACAAATGCATAAGGCATTTGTATTTTTAAGAAGTAACAAATTTTTAATAAAATTTAATATTGGAGGAAAACATATAATCACACTCTTATTTATTTCATAGCTTAAAAAGCTTACATGATGAACTTCATGACAATAATTCGAGCTAAAGTTGCAACAATTACATCTTACTTTGAGAATAATGTTGTTATTTTAGCATTTTTATTAGCAATATTTATTTACGAAATGGCAGCTATTATAAGGTATTAAAAATCAAACAGACGAGTCTTTTTATGGAAAAATAAGTTATCTCTGAACACGAGATATTCGTTATTTTGTAGATAATTAGAGTCCATTTTCCATTAAAACTACGCAAAACAGAATACATTCTATGATAAGGCGAATGCCTCGAACTACTAATCTAAAAAAATATTATACATGACTAAAGAAGCCATTGATTTCGATATTTTTGGTAGATTTACTAACATTGAATTACACTATAAATAAATGTACTAATAAATAGAGTGAATCATAACCTGTGTGAAATATAAAAATAACACAGTAAACGTTTAGAAATGTTCAAAATAAATTTCTTTCTGTAAAATATAATTTAATAACAATAGTTAATAGCAGATTTTTTAAGTGCAATTAAAGCCATTTCTTGTGAACGTTATCATTAAAATCTATTATATTATATACTTCGTCGTGCAACTAAAAACCTTTACCTGCCTAAGATCATTCTGCAGTAAATTACTATTCTTTATCCTTCACTTACATTCTCAAATAATATGCAACTGCATATGTGAGAGAGAGATAAAAAGCTGTGCAAGCTTAATAAAAGAAAAGAAGTCTCTCTTGAGCCGTGCCTGAAAGCAGACGCCATCCACGCTTGATGTTCAGGTACTGGATAACTGCACGCACGCAGATAAGGATACCTTTGGGACAATACAACAAAAAGTTGGATATATACAGGGTTATTTTTCAAAGATTAACGAAATTTTAAACTTAAGTTTAAACATACAAATGATATAACCATACTCACCAAAAGCCATGATAAGCCACCACAGCCAAGAATTTTCGTGGGAAGCTAATTCAGTGGAATGCTTCACGATGAGCGTCCATTTCGCAAGCGAGAGACCGAAACCGGCGAGTGCGCCGTACCGACTAGCCACGGTGTGGCAGAAACACATCAGCAGCAAGAAGCCGATCCAATTAAACAGGAATGCCACTAAAATAAAAAAGTTAATTTCACGTTTCGTGTATGGGAATGACTCTTCAAATATGCAAATACCTACAAAGTCGCGAAGTCAAAGTCGGTTTGTCTGCGTACATTAAGGAAATCATAGTTCAAAGTTTAGGCGGCCTGCCTTACATATTGCAAAAGAACAATGGCAGAAAAATAGTTGACAAAAATTATTGCGTCTAGAAATAAGTTATATATAAAATGAGATTTATTATTTATTTTTCTATGATTTTTCAAAATAAAAATGTATTTTAATTAAAGCCACAGAAAAAAAAACATTTTTGGGAATATCAAATGACTTAAATCATTTTTTTTTGGAGTTTATGGCCTGGTACTAGACCTTTAGGCCAAGTCTTAAGTATTTTTATTCGGTTTATTGTAATTTCCCCACTCCTTCATAGTATACTGCTTCACAATATGTTGATGCGTCACATTGTGCAGTTCTTGGGAGATTTTGGCGGCAACTTGATCCAGCAGACAGCTGATAGTTGGCGATGGTATCTAAAGGTGCCTATGCAAACAAACAGCTTATCTTGAGAATCCATCACCATCAGAGCACTTGTTTCACTGTTTCCACTAATAGTTTACACTTAATACACAAAATCGCAACACTTTCACATATCAAAGTCCACTATAAACCATTATTTAAACAATAATACAGGAGCAGCAAACCGTCGCCGGTCAACTTCCCGCCAAAAACTCACTTAAATCATTTTACTCTATTCAAGTGTTGCCATTTACTATATACTATACTATATTACTATATATTCATACTATTTTGGTATACACCTTGTAAGATTACCAACACAACACACAAACACAAAATATTTTTTATTAAGTTATTATTAGTAATAACTATACTATCAGTAATAATAAAAATATAAGTGATATGGTTGAAAATTAGTCTCTTGCAAACTTCCTACAATAATACATTATCTCAATCATAGTACTACGTAACAATAGGGTATTACACCCATTTTCAATAAGTGTTTTAAATGAATTCTAGAGTGATAATTGACCACTATAATTTTTATATATATTTTTTTAAAACCGAATAGTGACATAAAAATTACTTTTAATTTTAATATATCGTTTTAAATTTTCGCATGAAAACGCTTGCCGCCATACTGTTCAACTCGTGACGTCACTGTCGTAGAATTTTGACAATTTTGCAAAGGAATAAGATACTTTTGAATGTTTAATAATGAGTTATCATTTATATCATTGTTGTGTTGTGCCTGATTGCAAAAATACGAGCATAAGAACGCCGGGGAAGTTATGGATTAAAGTGCCAACTGATTTAAATATGAGAAATACTTGGTTAAAACTGGCAAGAAGAGACCCGAAGGCATTGCCTACAAAATCTAAACTATACTTCTGTGAAGATCACCTTGAAGTAGTATGACTTATATTTAACTATTGATTAAACAAAACAAAACATCATGACATGATAGGTACCTATTGCAAGTGTATTAGGTTAATCGCTCGTCTGTCCCGCCCTTTGTTGGCAATTTTGATAGCCCTTGCAAGTGCAGTGCACTGTTTTACTTAATTCCTCTTTTATTTTATTATATGGGAATAAAGACATGGTTTGTACTCAGACTAAATAAAAAAGCGATTTTTTATTTCGTTTGAGGGTTTGTACATAAAAATATAACAAAAAGTTTTTCTCACCTAAGCTTATATTAAAATATCTATAACACTAAAAGCGAAGTAATAAACTCGCTTTTACGAATCCGTCTTCCATGATGCCTTTTCAATAAAATTCGGAATAAAAGTCAACAATCGTAATGATAACTTGAAAAATTTCTAAATTAGCTAGTTAGTACACAGCACATAACCTAGTTCCTTGACCTAGTGACGTCACGACACTATCTAATATGGCGGACATCGTTTTGCAGATTTGAGACACAGGTAAAAAAAAATATTCTTTAAATTGAAATATAAAATTTATAATGCATTTTTATAAATAGAAATCAATATTTCTCGTTTATTTTTTACAAAATCTATCATAAATATATATTCTTTGAATTTTTTTACATGGTGTAAAATACCCTATTTCATTTAATGTTGCGGCAACACTAGCTAAAACAAAATGTCACTGTTGGCCTAAAGGTCTAGATGCGAGGCCATAAACTCCAAAAAAAAAATGTCACTGTTTTATTTACTGGCTTTACGGCTCTGGGTTCTAGCCCTTCTGAGAATGTTACTGTATGACACAAAGGCCCTAGAGCCATGCCAGAAATATACATTTATAGTATGAAAATATATAATAGAGATACAATAATCTAAAAACTCTCAATTATGTAGGTAGGTACATTATGTTAAGAATGTATTAAGCTAACATCAACCAACCACAGGACGCATGACTTTTTCCAAGTGACAAGACAGAACCTAAAAAGGTTCAAATCTAAATATCTTTTTCGACGCCTTCTCAGGGCAAAATGCGCAAATAACAAGTAGTAAAATTAAAAACCGACTTCAATATTAATTATTAGGGATAGCTAAAAAACTACTGGTCAGACCTTGATCAATATATCTAAAAAATATTATACTGCTCCGGCCAAAGGTGTCGAACCTAATCACTTCAGATTTGCGCGGCCGGCCAAATTTATTCATACCTTCCCTCACATTTATCACCGCCGTCCTATCCCAGTACTTTTTCGCATATATCGCAAGACTAGGGACCACATGAAAAGCCAGCCAGCTTTCAAATAAAAAAAGAATCATCGAAATCGGTTCACCGAAAAAAGTAATGAGGTAACACACATAAAAAAACATACAGTCGAATTGAGCACCTCCTCCTTTTTGAAGTCGGTTGAAAGTTTAAAATATGACCACAGACCAAAAATAAATAAAGACGGAGCGCTGCGTACACTTTAAGAGTAAAAACCGAGCCAGTCATGTTCAACTTATTGTAAGAAAATAGCAAGTGTTTTCTTGCACACATACACATCATGAGCATCTAAAATCATTTGCCACCAGCAACATGCTTTTAGGTGCACGTGTGTGTGTGTCCAGCAGTGAAGTTTTACGGGCTGATAAAGAAATCAAGAAGAAATATGTGTGCGTGCATGAGAGTTACTTGATATGTATGTAGCGCTCCGTCTTTATTTCTTTATTGGTCTGAGACTAACCAAAAATATTAATATGGCGATCATTTAATAACAGAAAATTTCACTAATCCAGATAAAAAAGAACATACATACCTGAAATACAATTTTATTTTTATGTGACACAATAGAAATACATAAAAAAGAATATTGCATTTTAGATACTCTGTAGTTGTAGTTGAAAATGTTAAGTCTATATTATTATTTTGTCTGTATAAGTGTCAAAGTAGCAGGCTATGTACATTCCATTGCTGGGCATAGTCCTCCTTTCCTTTCTGAGAGTGATTTAGAGCAAACCGCTGCTCCAGTGCATGTTGGCATTTCTTAGTTTTCCTTCACTGCCAAGCAATTGGTAAATTAGCACTTAAAATTGTAATTAGTAAGTTCATCAGTGCCAGGGGATCAAACTGTGGTTGCTTACATGCTGTGAAATTTACCTGCCCTACTATGAGCTACCACAGCTGTTACATAAATATATGTCGGAGCGTCTATAAAATACCCGGTAGGATCGAGGTGGAATTGAGGGTATATCGAGAAAGCCCCACTTGTTCGTGTAGTATAAAGTTCACTGTAGGCGTCGTGCGCGGAAGATTCTGCTCAAGTCATTCTACGAGTGTTGCTGGTATATAGTGTATTATCTATGACGAGTGTGGTCATTCTACTAGTGCTAAGATAGTGTCGTGGTTCTGTTCGTTGTTGTAATTCTTCTAGTGCAGGCAAAGAGGATTGGTGTTGCTGAGAGGCTGCCCTGTGTTACATTGAGATAAGTAGTGTTGCTGTTGGTTTACATGTTTTGGTGTTATCATGTAATTACGTACCTCACGTTACACTGGTGTGTGATTGTGGCGGAGACGTGTTACGGTGGTCAAACTGTAATTGCTCCTCTATACTTAATGTATAGTGCGTTTACGTTATCTTACTACTGATAATGATTAACTGCGTAAGCAAGAGAACAAGTTGAACATCCGCTCTCACTATTTTATTATTTTAATAATCATTGCTATCCTGATGTACTTCCGAGATCAAAATTGGAATCCTCTGTTGAATTCTCCGACATATATTTAACTTAAATTATTAATGTTACTACTACTAGAATAAAATCCATCAATAACGAGAAAAACTTAACATAATGGACATATCATACAGTTTAATTTAAAACATCCTCCTTTTTAGAAGTTATTTAAAAATAGCACTTGTCTGCGCTGAGGGTACCTCAAAATTGATATTGGCACAATAAACAAGAAAAAATTTAATTTATGGATACATATATGTTGAGCCTTTAGAATTTAGAATGCATGTTTATGAAATTAGCTCTACATCTTTGTATCTGTCTACACATACTTCAAGCAAGATTAACCAATATAAAAGCTATTATTTTTAGAGAGTTTATACCAAAGAAAGAAGTCAAGAACATGACATCAGTTCCCAGGAGGCTGTTCTCCGGGTCCAACTGTTCTGCTGTTGTTTCAGGTGGCTCTACAGTAACGAAAGCCGCAAAGGTCGGATGATGGGGTGGTGGCCCCTGTAACTGAAATGTTTTATAAAATTATTGCACATTCAATTTACGCAATCATTATTCTTAATTACTTGTGAACTGAACAGTTTTATAAGCATCCCACTGCATAGGTCTCCCCATTTCTAAGAAAATAGCACTATACTAGAATTATTTTGTCCGTGCAGTTTGGGTCATAAATCATCGGAGTATTTCGTTGTCTCTTCCACTCACGGGCCTTGGGGGCGAGCATAGTGATGCGCATTATTGTTGTCTATAAGCGTTTTCGATAGTGTATTCAGTTTTGTCATTATATGGGTTAGTGATAAAAATGAAAAAAAAAAAATAGATAAAACAACATATTTATTAAAATAAGAATAATAATACAAAACAAAGGAGTAGCCATTGTGTCACTAAAGAAATTCAGAGGGCGAATGCGCAAAAACAAATTTCTCTTCGATATATGTACTAAATTATCATTGCACTCATTTGCAGGTATTAGGCGGGGGTAATATTGGAAAACAAATGCCTTATAACATAACAATGTCGCAAAACCCTTTGTATACCGCACCGCCGCCGTGTACCTGCCTTCGATGATTCATTTGTTGTTATCGATAATAGCGTTGCACCCGTGCAACATGCTCACCGCCCTAGGCGGGCTATGATTTATGACCCCAACTGCACGAACAAAATAATTTTACTATAGTAAATCTTCCTTGCTGGTGAAGTTCATATTAACATCATCATACATTCTCAAAGGTTTTAATATTATTTAGATATTATGTAAACAAACAAACATTATATGCATCCATAGGACATTTAATTTGGATGCAACATAATAGGCAAGTGTTTTAGGCATTGTTATCATAATAAAAGAAATTATCAGAATTATTGAGTTTGAAATTATTATAGAAGTTATTAAGTTAGTAGGTAGTTTTTTTTTTTATTACTAGCGATTTCATTTATCTTATGTTATGTATTGAAGACAACACCAAGTGTTTGAGTGCAACAAGTGCAAAAAGTTATTATTTACAAATGTGCACTATTGATTAGTGAACCTTAACTTTTGGACTTAATTGATTTAATGATGGACACACACATCTACAACACTGAAATGATTGAGTAATATATAAAATAAATAAAACTTACACAAGAAAAGTTTTTTTTTTATATATAAGGCAATGAAACAATGTGATATATTTTCTTTTAAAAAGATCTGGTCGTGTGAACAATTTCGGAAAACAAAAACTAATAAGAAGAAAAATAGTCACAATTTTTTAAATTAACCTAGCTTCTGTATACAAAGTAGACAGTTCTACTGATTCATAATATGGCGGAATTTGAAAGTGTTCATTAATTACTTTCGGACTACATATCTGATTAAATACAAGCATCAATAAAGATTGTTATAGATTGAATTTTTTCTTATTTAACAAACACAGGGCACATTTTATTTTCAATTATTCCATACAAAAATACATTTGCTTGTAGGGTAATATAAGTATTATTATTTTTTAAATTATATTTCATTTCTGCGAAGCGTAAAAAATATGTCGAATACCTCCTTTAGACTTTATATTTTTGTACAGTGTATTCCTTTACTATCAAGCATATTATGTTAATCAGAAATTACAATTGCCCATTAACCTTTGAAAGCGACAGTAGCCTAATGGCCAGGATGCGGACCGCAAACTCAAAAGGTCATGGGTTCGAATCCAAAATTCGACTACTGTCGTGAACCACTCCAAACACAAACATTTTAAGCTTACCAGGAGTGGTTAAAGGGAATTTTAGTAATGTCACTAGCATTGCTAGTGTTTAAAAAAAAAACCTCAGTAGTATTACTACTGAGTAGTAGTATTATCTTTACACTTTGGTGGTGGTTGCGGCTCTCCGTATAGTGGAGAGATGGTGCAGGGAACACGACTTAACCGTCAATCCAAATAAAACGGTTTTAGTTATGTTCACACAAAAACGAAAGCTGAATAACTATCATCCTCCAAGTCTTTTTAGCACAAAACTCCAGCTATCCTCTGAGGTAAAATATTTAGGTCTTACCTTGGACAGCAAACTTAACTGGAATAAACACATAGAAAACAAAATCAACAAAGCTAGTATAACTTTCTGGCAATGCAGAAACATGATTGGCAAAAGATGGGGATTGACGCCAAAAATCATACTGTGGCTTTACAAAACTGTAATTCGGCCCATGATCACATACGGCGCTCTGGTATGGTGGACCAAGACAAATGAAGCCACCATAATTAAAAAGCTTCAGCGCTACCAGAGACTGGCATGTATGGCTGCCACAGGCTGCATGGGAACTACGCCAACAGCAGCCTTAGAAGCGATGCTGGAGCTAACTCCGCTTCATCTACATATACAACAAGAAGCGACTTTAGCTGCCATCAGACTCAAGACCCTAAATCTTTGGAGTAAGAATAGTGTCCCTCATACAGGCATAATTGATAGAATTCACTCAAAAATTCCTATCCTACAAGCCAAATACGATAGGATTCCTAAACAATTTGTTTTCGATAAGAAATACAAGATACAGTTAAATGAAAACAGCCAGCCGGAAGGATTAAGCCCAAAAGAGCTTAGAATTTTCACCGATGGTTCTAAAACAAATGAAGGTGTAGGTTCTGGAGCTTTCTCTGAAGACCTCAATATTCACATATGCACACCGCTGGGTACCTATAACACGGTCTTTCAGGCGGAATGTATGGGTATCATTCAAGCGGCCATAGCAATAGATGCTAGGAAGGTTAATGACTTCCCCATCAGAATACTGACCGACAGTAGGGCGGTACTCCAAGCCCTGAGATGCAATGTGGTGAACTCGGGACTAATATATGAATGCCATCAACGATTAAATGAGGTATGTAAAAACAACAATGTGACCCTGCAATGGATAAAGGGACACAGTGGATCCAGAGGCAACGATGCAGCAGACGAACTGGCTAGAAGAGGATCGGCTTTGGCCACTATAGGGCCGGAACCAATCATACCAATCCCCTTTGGTAACGTTTGTTCACTGGTACGTAGACACTTCACTAATCAACACGCTCAGCTTTGGAAAAATCTAGTAGACTGTAGACAAGCTAGGGATGCCCTGCCTGAAATTAACAGTCGCTTAACAAAAGTTTTAATGAGACTGAACAAGCCGCAGATTAGGATAGTAACAAGTGCTATCACAGGACACGGCACCTTTAACAAACATTTATTTACTATAGGTGTTACAGATAGTCCCCTGTGCAGGGCATGTATGGGGGAGGAAGAAACGGCGGCCCACGTGCTACTGAAATGTCCGGAGGTCGCTACATACAGGGCTAAACATCTCGGCACGCCGGGATCACTCCCCGAAGTTGCATGCAACATCAAGGGCCTGTTGAGCTTCTTCGGAGAGATCTCATGGCTCGAATAATCACATTATTCCTGCCCACACGCAAAATACGCGCATAGACGTGGAGTTGCGGAAAACAGCCCGTCGTAAACTAAACTAAACTAAACTACACTTTGGTGGTGCTAACAATTGGAAACAACCTCATGCATATAACTGCTATATATAAAACATAACATATCGTAACAAAAGGAATCACAAAAAAATTAAGATGTAATTATTTCTTATATTTACGCAAAAACTAATTTTACGAATTTTATCGCGTATATTAAATTATTTTATATTCCCGACGTTTCAAGCACTTTACAGCACGGGGGGGGGGGGGGGGGGGACTGAGGTGTATGACGTCCCAATGTCATAGTTAACCACGGCTACCTCCAGATTAAAAATTAATTTTTGTTCCGATCTACGCAGTATGAACTTACAGTATCTTGAAGTCTTACAGTTGTATGCTTGGGTTGGGATTTAATTTTATTAATTATGGGATCCCCAGCAGATGGTAGCACCCAGCCATCTTCTCTATTGAAATTAGGATTTTTTTGATTTCAATAGCCTCACGAATCATCCTTGGAAGGAATCGTTGTTCTTTAGCGAGGATTTGTGATCTATCAAATCTAATGTAGTGACTCCTGCATCTTGCAGAGGGACATTATACTGATGGTAAAAACTGACTAATCTTCTTCGGCGGCTTGAAGTATGTTTTAATAGAAGCATGCTTTAAGATGTAGCCAATCTTGTCAGTGACACCTCTGACAAGATTGGCTACATCTTGGAGGAGTGTACAAGCTTGATTGTGAATGTGGTCTCCCTTATATAGGACAAACTAAAAGATCCATAAAAACCCGTGTTATAGAACACATAGAATCGACACTCCGGGAAGGCTGCAGTCTGTGAACATGTACAGGATCGCCCTCTCTCACTACATTAGATTTGATAGACCACAAATCCTCGCTAAGTAGTGAGAAAATAATAATAGGGATTACTACAGTTATGAGAAAGTGTTTTAGTATGTGATGGTATGCCATTAGGCAGTTGCAAAGTATAAAATACTATACAATTATTTAAGAAAAGTGGATGATTTTAATAGCTGTATCACCATTCTAGACTAAAAGGTTTTTTAATAATTAAAATAGACTGATCTTTATTTCTTTTTCTCAAGACATTGCTTATGTAGCATAATACTTTACAATATTTAAACTGTTCACAATTTAAATCGATCCTTTTTATTTTTATACATTAAATTATTATTGATATTTATTTAAACTACTTTGAATAAATTATACTACCTGAGGTGGCCCCTCTCCTTCCATTTGTTTTTCACGCTGCACTTCCTCATAAGTAGGTAGCTTTGAATTAGCAGCAACATCATAAGGTGGAGGAGCAGAGAAATCCGCTTGTGGTGGTGGTATGTCATGAGAATTACCTTTAATAATGTGAATCAATATAAATCAATAAATAGTTTGTGTGGATTAAAATAAGCTTCTTTTATAATATTTGTTTGTTTGAAAAAAAGTTACTTCCTAATTTAAATATTATAATTTTTTAAGATAAACTATCATTATCTTTATAACAGCCCTTCACAAGTTACTCCACTGCTGAACATAGGTCTCTCCCAAGGAATGCCATAAAGCATGGTCCTGATCTTCTGAGCCACCAGCAACCATCGATTTCTTGCATGTCTTACCAGGATGTCACTCAATCTAGTGAGAGGTGCCTTACACTTTGCCTAGGTATGAGGCCACTCGAGAACCTTTCTTCCCCATCGGTTGTCGGTTCTTCGAGCTATATAGCCTTGCCACTTCACCTTACTAATCAAAAGTAGAGCTATATTAATTAACAACCGAAATAATAATAATAAATTAATATTATTTTAGGACTAAAGGCTACAAAACATACAGATACTAAATTATTAACTAAAACGTCAAGCTCTATAGCTTTATGTGGTATGAAAAATATTTACTATATATAGTTACCTACTTCCTGGATTGACATATGGCCATGACAACAAAATCATAGTTGAAAAAGAACAAGTGTGACAACAGATAGCGTTTATTTCTAAAAACACAAATTTGATGTTGCACAGGCAGGTATCTATTTCTAGGAAAATTATTATAATGAGTGTTTAACAACGTTATTACTACTTCAGCTAATAAACTAGTATTATGGTGAAAGTGATAAGAATATGCATTAAGCCTTACTTATAATGTCAATAAACGGTGGAGGCATGTTCATGTTGGCTTCTATGGATGAGGGCAAGATTACTCTCAGATGTCCCGGAGGACAAATACAATCAACTCTTGATTGTTGACTCTGTAACAATTGAACGAAAACTTTCACGTATCGCGATATACGCCAGCAGTTACATAAATAAACAAATATTACATTACTTTGTCACTGCACACATACCATGTTTTTATTCATCTGTTATTAGCCCTTGTAATAAAACAGTGCAATGTAACTGTCACAATCTTCCTAAAAGATATAATATAACTCAAACGTCTAACAACTTTAGCACGTATTATTTTTATGGATTCACGGCTGGTAATCTTTGGACAAAAATCTTTGACCGTATGAAATGCAGTGAGCAATTCAGAACATGACGTTTCCCTCGTCCCTCCCACCTTTTACCCTTTCCCACTGCCGCCATTTTGTCATGTTATTGTCGCGTAGCTGTCAAGTTAGAAGTTTTCTTGGAAATTTTCATTTTGTTTTTCTATGAAGTATGAACTAACTATAAATTATAAATAAAGTTTTATTGGCATTTTACTGCTATTTTACGAAAGGGTGTTTATTGTTTAATCGGTTATATATTTCGACGGGACGTTTTCTTTAGCTTTAGTGTATTTTGTATATAATTTTTAGTTTTAAAATGTATTTTTAAGTGTTTCATTCCCAATTGTGCAAGTAACAGAGAAGAGTCTGACGAAGGCCAAAGAAACAAGTGGTTGGACTTTATAAACTGTGACAAACTTTAAAGTATGCTGCATTCCAGTAACCTTTTCAAGAAGCCTGCTTGGTCACAAAATTTTGGAATAAAGGGTTTCATACTGCTAAATCTGACATTAATAAGGCCAAAAAAGGTTGGATAAACTCAACACTAATCTTTGGAGTAAATTGAGTTAGGTTTATCGTCAAAGATGACAAAGGTATGTACATTTAATTATTCCTTAATAAACGTAACTGCTCAGGATATTCAGTATTCATATGAAATTTAAAAACTTATAATAAAAATGTATGGGAGTACTGTACATTGAATAAAACTACTTAATTCCTGGCATTTCAAGTGATCTCTCTGATAACAACTTAGTAATAATAATGAACTGGTTGCCAACTTGTCTGCCAAGTGTTACAACTATGGAAAATGTACACCTTATATGATAACCTATGAAGGCCTATGTTTACCAGTAGCTTTATGATAATCTGTAATGAATGAATGATGAATGAAACAATAATAAATTCTTTTTATAATAATAATATTAAAATTTTAAGTTAATGGCTGAAGTAAATGAGGAATTCTATTATTTTAAATAATTAATTGTCAACATTAATTTATGCACAATCGCACCTCTAGTCTTAATAATTACAAAATCAAGGATGTCTGAATGACAATGACAAACAATCTTTTATGTTTTTATTTCAGATGATACAGTTCAAATAAACTTGATATTTGATCAGCCATCATAAAAAAAGGTATGAGGAATAATTTTGCTGTCAAAACACATAATAACTGATGGAAATGTATCAAAATGGCAAGATGATGTGTACTAAACAGACTGCAAGCATACTCAATTGTGCTTGTTAGATAAACTAAATGATGACCATGTGATTCCCAACGAAGTAAAAAAATTAAGGTAATAATCATGTAAAATTTAAATTGCAAAACAATCGCCATTCTAAAACTTTAGTTCAGATAATATATATTAGGATTAGTAATATGCTTATATTTTTGAGCAAATTTGATCTCTGTCTACACTACTGAAATAAATGAATTAATGTTAATTCCAATTTTAAGTGCTAATTTATCATGTTCTGGAACATTGTGACGAACGACTAAGGAATAAAAATATTTTAAAGATGTAGTCTACCAATAAGCACCTTGCTCAACTCATTGTTTCATACCCCTCTAAGAAATGAGACAGAGTCTGTGCCCAGCAGTAGAACATGAACATAGACTCCAATAGATAATTGGCTACTTTACAAAATATACTTTTATCCTCCCAACCTTCTATCAAAACTTGCTACAGTGTACTTAATTATCTAAAGTATCAATGATAATTATGTTCAAAACTTATTGGAAATTTCTGTATAATTGTGAAAGCTTCTTAGATTTATGTGAAAGTAACTTTATCTGATTACAATGGCCTCTTGTCTTGACATTTTCTATGCAAACATTTATACACAACAACAATTACAATTAGCAACAAGTTTAATATGTGCATATTAAACTTGTAATTTATATATTTAAATATTCCTTTTTCCAGCTCAATACACTGGATATTGAATGTATTGAAGAGAACCTTTTCACTGAAAATATTCAAATGCAAGCAGCAAGAAAGCAATTATATGTTTACTCTATAGCATGTTCCACACATGGGTTTCTGAAAGGCACGGACATCATTAGAATCGAAAAGTGTACATTGCCATCTATCCAAAAAAAACCTTAAACAAGTTTAAAAAAGTTAAAAAAATAAATCATATAATAAATAATATATACAATGCATTTTATTTCCACGAATCCTTCATAATAAAATAATAATAATAAAAATAGTAATTAAAATTATAAATATAAAAATATTATATAGGTATATACCTACATATATATATATATATATATATATATATATATATAATTATACTAGGCTGAAATAAAATTATTCCCTTGCCAATATCCAATTCATATTTTAAAAAGAACGAAATGTCATGTTCTGATTTGCTCTACGGTCCAAACTAAATGTACCAGAGACGTCCGTCTGAACCGTAGATAGAGGATTGACTAGATAAAGCATTCGCGTATGCTTTTGAGATAGAAATAGGCGGGAGGTTCTTTCACTGGGTTACCAGATATTGTTCCATTTCCCTCGTTATGGGTTTATTTATATTCACAGCACTTACATTCATACAAAAAACTTAATTGTTACCATAAAAAAATGTTCTTTTATAATTCAGATGATTAATTAATTTCTCTTGAAAATACATTGTGACAAAAACTACGGGCGGATACGGCGTAAAAACAGAATAATCATTCTGTAATCAACGGCGCATCGACGATTTTACTGGACATTCAATAAACTCTTTGGATTTCGACGGCACTAAGTGAAGGCGCTAATAGCACAAAGTGTGATATCGCTAATAAATAACAATATGTTATGTATGTACTTAGATATTAATTGAGAATAAAAATATTAAATAATAAACAAAAATTTCCTTGAGTCGAGTTGTTGTTTTTACAAAAAAAAAATCAATAATGTTTTAACATACCATTCCATCACAAGTTCAGTGCTGAACACAGATCTTCGAAAGGAAAGGGTTTCCACTTAGGTTTTGTAGTACAAAACACGGTTATGAGCCTACTCCCGCGATTTCCTGCATGTTTTGCTAAGTTAGTGTCTTGTGTGCGGCAAGTTGTGGCGTACAAGAGAATTTGTCTGTACACGGGATGATATTACCCCGCGTCGTAAGCAATAATACAAGATGAGGATGGGGCAGCAGCACTTTCCCGATGAAAACTTAAAATAATAAAAAACTGCGGTGGCCAACCAGCATAACGCATATTTTCACGCAGGCGTGGCAACTATGGCAAGTCATCCTATGAGGATATCTATGGAAGGCCTTTTTTAGGTGACTTACTTATGGTTAGGTGGCTTAATCATGTTACCTAATGGTTAAGGTGGTAAAATGTTTTAGTTAATATACGTTGTAAAGCATCAACAAAGGATTTTTTTTTTGTAATATGTTGGTATATAAAATAAAAACTAATGTTTTATAATATTCTATTTTAATTTACCATGCAGTGTAAGATTATCTGCTACCTCATATCATTCCATGGGTGGTGTATGAGGCGACATAGGGAAACATCAAAGACGATAAACAGCAACATTGTCCTGATAACAGCTAAATAATAGTTGACAACCAGCTTTCCAAGCGTTGAAACTATGCCAAATAATTATAATAATGTTTATGTTCAACAGTGGACTTTTGATAGACTCTAAAGATATATATTCTATTTAAATGAAAATATATTGAAATTTAAAAAGGAAAAAGAACTAAATTTTGTGTACTTACACAACATTTAGAAATATTAACAATGTTACATTAAGTAAAACAAATGAAAACACAATTATATATTAAATATAATTCAATAAAATTAAAATAAACAAACGATTATTTATTAATTTTTCATCACATTAATAAACAACAAATTTAACAAAATTTTTGTCTTCTTTCTAGAGCATTTAGTAGTTATAAGTAGTTAGTAGTATAGTAGTTATAAGTAGTAGCCTTAGAATTTCTCAAAAATATGCATTTGTAAACTTGATTTATACTTTTGCATGGCAGAAATTCTTGGGTGCTGGTCGTTTGAATCAGATTAGAAGGGAGTGTGTATATATATATATTATTTGCCTTGTATATAATATATTTTAATGGTATAAATAATAAGGTACAACTCCTAAACTATACTTAGATAGGTAATACTTATCTCTTGTCAAAAACATCTTTATTACATTATTTTTATGACAATTAAATAGAAATTATCATAATTATTACATTTATTTTTTAATTTATTTACACATTAATGTTTATAACACCTCTATAAAAGGGATTAAGGGTGGACTAAATGTCCCATTGGTAGGCATTCCCAGTCAGTTTTACAATTATTATTGCATAATGAATTATTCATTTGTATATGTAGGTCAGGACTTTAAATTACTTATTTATTTATTTTATTTAAATCTTTATTTGCATAAAACATGGTAGTACAGATAAAGTTCCAACATTTGTAAATGAGGATTCATGTTTAATCAATACATCTCTATAAATAAATATTTTGTCATTGTCATGCCACCCAATTATTACAAGTCATAATAATACAGAATGTCAGCATTTGAAAATAGAATAAGCAATGCTAGTCAATTTTTAATACATACAGAACAATGTCAAAAATCATAACTACCAACAAGATGAAACTTATATCACTTATGGAGAAACAACAAGATACAACAAGAAATTATAACATTTAAAAAATTATCTTAATTAGGTATATTATAAATTACATAAGTTAAGCATATTTAGTCCACCTAAAACAATGAGGCCTAAAATGTTTTGAGCATACACTGCTAAGTTTTGTTGGTTACCTATAAGCACTACCAGTAGCGATTATCCAACTGTTACGGATAGCTGATTCCTTAGGAAAGCTGTGAAATAATATATTTAAAAGAAATTAATATATTAATTATATAGTACACTTTTATATCAAGGTATTTAACAAAAAAATCAAGTATGTGTATCTGTGCATAAATTCAATACCTATAACAATTAAAACAATATCAATTGATTTAATTGAATAGCGAGTATATGTAAATGTAATGATAATATTATTCATACCAAACATTTAAAAAAATTATGTACAGATTAAGCTTTAGATATTGTTAATTAATATATGTATAGCCTAACAAATGTCCTCCACCGCTGAACATAGACCTCCCACACAGTTTGTCTCCAAATAACTGCATTGAGAATATTATCTTATGTTGTTGTGTTATTGTGTACCTTAAGATTAAGACTTATTTATTTATTATTATTTTATCTATATTTATATTAGCATGACATATTTTTTTTAATAAATATTGTAATGTAATTGTTGCTAATGTATAATAGAATTAATGGAATGCAATAAAGTTTTGTGCATCTGATTTCAGGCAATACGTATTTTGTGAAATTAAATATACTTTGCCCAATATTTATGTACTTGAATCCAAACATGTTTTCAGGTTGATACTTACATATTATTTGTGACGTCTATGTAATATGGAAAATGATTGAAGAGTTGTAGAGCAATAAGGAGTTTCCTTTAAAGCTGAACATAAAAGTGTATGTATATGTATAACATTATGTGATTCATATTTATGGACATAACTACTACTCACACACTAATCACAATAACAATTATTATTGAACAATGCGAAAACATTATTGTACTCGCTGATATCCCTAAAGTTTCTATAATCCTACCAAATCAAAAAGTACACGTTTGTTATGACTTTAAGCTTTCGAATGACCGTTCAAATTAAGGAGCATTATCATGAAGAATTTACAATCTGGGAGTCCAAATATTTGACAAAATACATCACAAAGTTCATTAAAAACATGAAATGTTACACTTCATATTCAAAACAATAGAAATTAATCAGTACAAGTAGCAAATGTAAGCACAAAACAAACTTACCGATGAAAGGTAATATTATCAATTTTTCGTTGACTGATGCTGTTGCATCCTAAAATGCTACAACTTACCATTTTTTTCACCTTACCTAATAACTAAGATCCACAAAAAACACTAAATTCAATTACATGTTTGCTTATAATATTAATATTATTCGAAAGAGCTTGACATCGTTAATGTCAAATAAAGGAGGGAAAATAATCAAAAACGCATACCTAGAAAAAGACAAGAAATATAGATTTGCTTCTCCCTTACTCTTATGTCTAACTATATACGTGCATTCCTTTCACACGCTGATGACGTCACTGAATGTTTAGTCTATAAGATACTATGTCTATGGTCTGAACGCGTAGTGTTTCTATATACACAAACTATATAATATAGTTTGTGTATGGCAAGTGATTATATTCTCTTTGGTGTATGGATTCTTATTGTTGTTGTTTTTATTATTCGCTCGAGAGAGCAGGCAAAGGAACTATGCCATACAGCCTTGTCTTCATGTGTAATTATCCTTCATAGTTCACTGCTTTACAATATGTTGATGCGTCACATTTTGCAGCCCTTGGGAGATTTTGACGGCAACTTGAGCCAGCAGGCAGCTGACAGTTGGCGATGGTATCTAAAGGCGCCTGTGCAAACAAACAGCTTATCTTGAGAATCCATCACCATCAGAGCACTTGTTTCACAGTTTCCACTAATAGTTCACATGCGCAAACACTTAATACACAAAATCGCACCACTTTTATATATCAAAGTCCACTTCAAACCATTATTTAAACAATAATACAGGAGCAGCAAGCCGCCGCCGATCAATTTCCCGCCAAAAATTCCTTATGGATTCTTGATTCTGAAATATTTTAACGAAAAGATAAATCTAGTTAGATCTTTTCTTTTAAATAAAACTAATTTTACGGATTTTATCGCGTATATTAACTTATTTTACTTTCCCGACGTTTCAAGCACTTTACAGCACCCATGGTCATGGGGGGGACTGAGGTGTATGACGTCCCAATGTCATAGTTAACCACGGCTACCTCCAGATTAAAAATTATTAATTTTTGTTCCGATCTACGCAGTATGAACTTACAGTATCATGAAGTCTTGCAGTTGTATGCTTGGGTTGGGATTTAATTTTATTAATTATGGGATCCCAAGCAGATGGTAGCACCCAGCCATCTTCTCTATTGAAATTAGGATGTTTTTTGATTTC